TGAACTGTTTCCGCTTGCTGTCAGCGGATGATCATTTACGACTGCTGTCAGCCAGTTTTATTTAGCGTAACTATCGCTTTTATTGTCAATAAAACTATTCTATTTGCAAAGAGTGCAGCGTGTTTAGTTTACGACTCTCAAGTTAATTTTCTATTGCTGAAATTATTATTTCATTATTGTCGTTACACTTAAGTTGAGTATTTTACGTATATTGGTATATATCTGAGCTTCTCAACTCCCACCCATTTGATCGGTTGCATACAATGTGAATTTGATGACAAGTCAATGAATCATAATAAATGCCTCACATTCTCACCATCTAACTATTCATTCTTTTTTAGCGCACGTATCTCGGGTGACGTGATGGTTACACATCCTCCGGCGACTACAGCCTGTCACCTGTTCAGTCCGTGTCTGTGCGTTAATCAAACACAGCGCAATCCATTTGTAAGCAGCTACAGTCGTTCCTTACACACACACACACACATGACCGCGCATCACGAGTGCCAGCAGCCCGAACGTGACATATGGCGATGAACTTTTATGCCAGTAAGATATCAGACGCAGCCCACGGCACGCGTTGCCAACCATCCGTGCTGCAAAAGTCGCGCGGTCAACGGGATCGTGGCAGACACACACATACATATGCATATCGGCGGCATATGCCATATGCCATCTGTGCAATTTAGACAGCACTGAGGCCGGAGCTAAGAAGCCAGCTCAAACTGCTGACTTAAACATTCTCACGCCTAGCGACGGCAGTCTGGAGGGGGCCATTAGGCAAAGAAATGAATTAGGTCGAAAAGTGGAGCAGCTGAATGAACACGATTTGAAATCAGAGCTACAGCAGGTGCGTCGATTAGCAATGTAAATAAGCAATGTCATGCAATATATAAATAAATATGTTTATTTATATATTTCCTTTTATGCATACATATGTAGCATATATATTTTTATTCTGAAACAAGTTTGGAAATTATAGCAACATTTCAGACTCAAATTATAGACAAGCATATATTTTCTATATACAGATCCTACTTATACATTATATATTATTTAAATTAAATATTCTGAACCTCTTTCAGAATAATATACATAGTAGAAGAGCTTTTCTACTGCACTGAATTCATTCACTGCGCTGTTCAATAATTTAGATAAGGTAATTCATAACAAATATCGCAGCGGCTTTTGGCAATCAACATTGTTTAATCAACTGAATAAATGAACAAATGCAAGCATGAAAAGATGAAAAATTTATATAACATAAATTAAAATAATGCGTATATATTCTATAGCAAAAAATTAGAATAATATATATAATAAGTTGTGATATGAAAAATTTAACATTTATAAATAATTTAGGGCTTTAAATTGAATGCATTGAGTATTCTTTTAAAGAGATCTCCGGTTGTCTATAGAGAAAATAATAAATATATTTATATTAACTGAAACACTAATACATAGTACACGAATAGTAGAGTTACCTCTTGAGTCGAAGGTCACACGTCCACAAATCCCCATCGGCCGCCTGGGGCAAGGTAACAAACACATAAGACACACAAATTGATAGGATTAGACGGCAAGAAGCGGACCGTAGTAGAAGTAGTAGAAGAACACAAGTCCTAAGGCTAATGGCTTATGAGGCTAGACAGCCAAAACTAATGGAGTCTCTATTTGGACTAAATGACTAGCATGAAGGGCCATTCGCTTATCTTCTTACTGTCGATGGTGTCTTCAAGTTATGCTTGATTTGCAGAAATTTCTGTACTCATTTGTATTATGGTCACGCTTATTGCTGGGACCACACATTTTTGGAATGTGGAGTTGAGAGCAAGAGTTAAAACAAATATTAGCTGCGCTATTAAAGGATTATCGTGACAAGCATAACATTGATATCACTCATCATCGAATGCATATTGTAGTGAGGTAGTTCTTGAATTGTACAGCCTATCTATGTGGAAATTGAGAGATGCTGTGATTCTCAATTTGAAGTCGCAGTGCTTGAAATACCAAAGTGCTTTATTTAATAGATTAACTTAGCTGGCTAAGCAGGTGAAGCTCTACTTTACTTTGCTCCCTATCCAGTTTTCAGTTAACCCATTCATGTCTCTCTTTCTTTCACTGTCTGTCTCTCGCTCTCATTATCGTTTTAGTATCCATACCATACCATCTAAATATTGTGAAGACTGAAAATAAAAATTCGACTAGAGAAGCTTAGGCAATGCAGCAGCAAGATCTTAAACTCTTGCTTAAATATATATACATAACTACTTATGTATATACAAATATATATTTACATATATATTTATATGTATACATGTATACACAAATATATACAAGTAAGTTATAACCAGCAGCTATGCTAACAATGCTGTCACAGTCCACTTTAGCACTGAAAGAGTTGAGCCACGCAGAACGGTCAGACTCCCAAGAGAAACTTGAAAATGTATCCGAATTGGTCGGGCACGTCGGCGTCTGTTTGCATGCAATGAGATACTGCAGGTGAGCTGCTACTAGGCCATGACTGTCTGACTGTATGCCGTGTCCCCTCGTCCAGGTAACACAGGTCAGCCATGCGCCGAGCTTAAATAAACATGACGAACGACTTACTAGACCCAGTGGATTCCATTAAAATTACCATGTATAGTACATATGTTAAATATGCTGCTCTACGTGATGCCAAAGGGCTGCTCTCTCTAGCTGACTGGCTTCTTTCGTCGGGGCTCGGATCGAGCCTGTGGTCACGTGAGCAGCTTGTTAAAAAACTTTGCCAAGGCACGTGTTTGACATATTACATTGCGACAATGTCTAACTAACTTCCGCCTGTTTGTGCTCATAATCAAACATTTGCCATTGTGTTTATTTGCAGTGCTGGAGAATCGAACAGCACAGCAAGGCAGCGAAGCTGCGGAGAGGCGTGTGTTGGCATTATTTGCTGTCTTGTCGAGAACAGCAATTGGTCAGTAACAGGGCAATGTTGTAGAAGTTGCTAGAGGCGCCATCCAGAGATGTAGTGAAAGTCTAAGTAAGTTTACTAGTTTCCTTATAGGTAGAGTAAGCAAGGAAGTTCCTCACGTCAGTCGTGAGTTTTGACTACGTTAATAAGCAAATCTAGTTTTAATCATAATATATAATAAATATTCAATATTCCAGTACAAATCGATGCATAGCAACAACATCATATAAATAGAATTAAATACATAAGTAAATAAAAAATGTAAAAAATATAATAATACCAATTTAAATTAAACCGGTAAATAAAATGCCTAAATGAAAGAAATGGCTATGCAATCAAAATTGTTAATTATATTTAATTAGTTTCGAAGCTACATTTAAGCCATTAAATTTATGGAATTTATATTTGCAACACTTCAAACATTATGTCTAATAAAAATAAAAAACAAAAATTATATAAAAAATTATACAAATAAATAGAAATCATAAAAAAAGATCAATTTAATATT